ACCGATAATTTTTTTTTTTTTTTTTTTTTTTTTTTTTAAAATAGTAACGCGTTTATTAATTATATTTAATCATTAAATACATAATTAAATTTAAACACCTAGAGCTTGAAATAAATCAAACCCTATAACTAAGTATATATCGAACTATAACTAAATTTATCTATACTAAGTCTAAATTAAACTATTCGCTAACTTAATAATTGTATCCCAAGATCTAGCTATATTATTACCATCTGTAATTGATCCTTTCATTTTATCTAACGTTACTAAACTAATTTGATTTTTTATTTTTGTTTTTTTAATTTTTTCTTTTAGTTTTTCTTTTGTTTTTTGTTTTTTTATTATTTCTAATTGTAAATCTCGTTCTTCTTCTTTTTCGTCTCTTTTCCTCCGTAAATCTGATTTTTTTATTTGAGCTTTTTCTTCCAATCTTTTTATTTCTTCGCATCGCGGAATCCATATGCGTTTCTTTAATTCTTCGTATGTAAAAATCCAGAGCTTTTTGATCAGATCTTTGACTTTCTTTTCTTTTGATAAATCATTGAATTTGTTGTTATAAATTCCTCTAATCATTTCCCATTTTCTACCTTTCCCTAGTAAAATATTTGATGGACTTTCAATTATATTAATAAATTCACAAATATAATTTCTTATAATATCTAATTCTTCGCTTTGGTTGGATTCGTAAAGAATTTTCTCAAATTTGTATGGTGATTCTCTTATAATTTCATCGACTGAGAATTCGTTGTCTTCACATGTCCATATATGTTCCCAGTCTTCTTGTTCTATTTTCCCACATCTTATACATTTGTCTGTATCTATTTTATTAGTATTTCTTCTATATAAAGTTTTATATGTGGGTTGTTCTTTGAGCAAATTTTTGATTCTGTATGAACGATCGATCGTGTCTTTATCACCGCATTGTCTTTGTGAAAATTCTACTCTGTTGCTGATAAATTCTAAGCTTGTGATCCAATCAAATTCTTTTCTATAATTATACATGAATAGATCTTCCAATTTTTCACTATTCAAAATTTCGTTTTTCCACATTGCATTTGTTATTGCTTTTCTCCACGAACGAAATCCTCCTTTTATTAATCTATTATTCCAAATTAAATTGTATTCATTCGTTGTTAAGCCTTCATCTATTAGTTCAAAATTATATTTTACCTTATTGATTATATTCTTATTTTTTATCATTTCTTGCATCTCTTTTCTTTTTTCCTTTATAATTCTATATATTTTTTCATTTTCTTCTATTAATTCAATATTATTTGTTTCTAAAAATTCCTCTAAAAATAAAAGTTCAAGATAAAATTCACTATCTATCTTTTTTCTATTACTAAGATTGTTAATAAATTCAAATATTAATCTATTAACTTTCTCATTAATTCCCAAGATTAATTCGCTATTCTCTCTGATTAGCAAAATTCCTAAAATTATACTTCGTAAAATAACTTTAAATTCATTTTCGTTGTTACACTCATGATTCGCTAAAAATATCAATTCTTCATTTGTATTTCCTTTATAATCTAGTACAAAAATTTTCCAAATTACATTATAACTATAAATTCTTTTACCATCGTCATTTATATCCCATTTCCTTTTATTAATGTCTATTAAGAGGCAGAATCTCTGTTTTGTTTCCAAATTTAGTTCGTTCTCTTCAAAAATGCTATTTTTGATTAAATCTATAAAATTTTCTTCGTTCGTTTTAATTATCTTATCTATTAATTCTATCTTTTTATTATATAGCTCGTCTCTTTTTTCTTCTATTGTGTAAGATCTTAGCCATTCATTTTTCTTAATTATGTTCTTTAAAGTTTCGTAAGGTTTGATATCATTATCTTCTTTTCTTTTGTCTATTTTCCTGCTTATTTCATTTTCTATATATATTAAACATTCATTGTTCCCCTTTTTTTTACTAATATTTCTGTGGCATCCTTTGCATTCTTCTAATCGTGGTGAATTGTGTAGGTCGTAATGGTCTCCGACTAGTATTAAATGTGTACCTATTCTTTTATATTTTTTGCTCTGCGATCTTTTTCTGTCTATACTAAATATCGGAAATTCACCTTCGACGTTCCAAGTTATAATACTATTTTTATCTTGTTTTTCGTTTTCATCAAACAGGTTAACATGGATGCTTTCTTTGTATGATTGTCCTACGAATTCATTTTTTATTTTCCTTACTTGTCCACTTTCATCTTCTAATAATTTATGTTCTAAATTTTTGAACCATTTCGGTATTTTACCTTTCATGTTCAGTCCTTGTTCCTTACATAAATGCTTCCATTTTAATAGCGTAATACCATCCGCCTCCAGGATGTCTTCTAAAAATATTATGTTTTTCGATTTTCTTGATTGTGCACTTGTCACGAATTCTTTTCCTTCGATTAAGTCTATTAAATCTGTCTTCCCTCCTTGTATTCTGTGATTTTCATTAAAATCTTTCGTTTCATGATTACAAATTTTTATTTTTTCGTTATTTAACGCTTTTAATGCTGATATGATCCAATTGTTTTTCCTATAATTCTTAATTTCTAATTCCCCAGGACATCTCGAGGTCCATAACTTTTTTTGTTCTTGTATCATTTTAATTTTGAATAGAATGTTTAAATTGTTATTCCCGTTCGCTTGATATAACAAATTCTTACATAACATTTCCATCTGTAGGTCATAAATATGTTTAACTCCTAAAATATCTTTCTCGTAAATTATGAAATTAGGAGTTGTTTTTGCTAGCCCTGCTCTTTTCTTTATGATCATATTAATTCTTGTCATTAATTTATCACATTCCCATTTTTTTAAAATAATTGCGGCTAGTTGATACTCTATTCTCGGCATTATTACAATATTCCAAACTGCGATGATTTGTTTTTCATTGAGTCGTTTCCAGTTAAATATGTTACAAGCATTATTAATTATCGATGTTATTTTCTTTTTATAGATCTCTCTTTTATTATCGTGTCGGAAAAATATTCCTAGATACCGATTTCCTTCTTCGTTATTTGTTTTAATCGCTTCCCCTTCTATGATTAAATCTTCTTTTTCATTGTTGATTTTTATAAGTTCATATTTGGATACGTTTGCTTTAACATCATTAATATTAAAAAATTGATGACAAATCTCGATCATGCGTTCTAATTGTTCTTTATTCTTGCTAATTAGCGTCGTGTCATCCATAAATGCCGTAACATTAATTGATATCTCTAGGGTTTCTTTTATGTCTTTATTTTTATCTATTAGTTTTTCTTCATAAAAATTGTACCCTGATTCCTCCCTCATTTCGTTTAGCCTGCTTAAAAGTGGATCGTAAAAAATTCTCCAGAGTATGGGCGACCATACTTCGCCTTGGTCTATACCATCTTCCACATGGTATTCCTCTGTTAGTTCATTATTCACTAAAACTCTGTTGAATCTATTTAGGCTCACATCCATAACTATATTAATAAATTTGTCCGGTAATTTAATTCTTTCTAGGCTTTTTTTCAACATTGATGTGTTTACCGAATCGTAGGCTTTGGATATATCCATCAACAATATCCAGGCTTCTTTTTTGTAATTATTGGCGTCCTCAATTATTGCTTGAATTATTTTAATTGGTTCTAATGTACTTTCATTTTTTAGTGCTGCGAAATTCGTATTCATCAGTATCTGTTCTTTAGTTAAAATTTCGCTCAATCTATTGACTAATATTTTGAACCAGATCTTCCTTGCCGTTTCTAAAAGCACTATTGGTCTTGTCAAATTCAGATCTTGATTCCAATTTGAGCGTGTAGTTTTGTTGATCGGGTATATGACACCTTTTTTCCATTCATTCGTTACGTTCTCTTTACACATGCTATCATTAATAATTTCTAATAATAAGCTTCTCGTTAAATGTCCGCTTTTCTTCCAAAAGTCATAAGTTATACCGCTCAGTCCTGGCGCTTTGTTTGTTTTTAGATTTTGTAAAACTTTCTCTAATTCTTCCATTTTTATCGGTGTCATCAAATTTTTGTACGTCTCTTCGTTTATATCATCTTTTGGTGCATATATTTCTCTCCAATCTGGATCGTATTCTAATTCGTCTAGGTTAATTTCTCTTTTCTTTGTCCATTCTTTATTGTGTTTGAGTACTTTTTCCTTTATTTTATTTTGATCTTTTTCTATCATGATTTTCCCATTTTCTTTTATCACTAAACCTGTCATATTTATTTTCTCTCTTTTCTTTTCTAAAATTCTATTTAACATTTTTCCAATGTCTTCTTCTAGATAGATCTCACGTTTTCTTATATTTATTTCTATATTTAGGCTATTAATTTCTTCGTATAAACTCCTCATAATTTCTGCTCTTTTCTTTTTCCTTTCTTTTAGTTCTTGTCGGTTACTGTGTGTTCTTAGTTTGTCTATCGTGATTGCGTGTTCTATTCTTTTTTCTAGTCTATCGTGTATATTGATTAGTTTACCTATTTTAACTGCATTGTGTTTTCCTGTATCCGTTGTTCCCCATTTTTCTATTATTAGTTTCTCTTCGAATTTTTTGAAACTATATATATATTGAGAACTTTTCCTATCATGCCATAAGTAATTAACTACTTTATCCGTTAATTTGCTGATTCCATGTTCTATCGCGTCTATCTTTTCTAGGTTTTCATATTCTGTTATTAGTTCTTCTAATCTTTCTTCGTTTGTTCTTGTTATATGTTCATCTCTTTCTTTTTTCAGTTTTTCTTTTTTATTCTTGATTTCTGTTATTTGTTTATTTTTTTCTTCGTCGTATATTTCTACTATAGTGTCCCAAGTGTTTTCTCTATCCAGTCGTTGTGTTGTTGCTTGATCTAATCCTTCTAATCTTAGTTCTACTTCTTCTGCTATTTTTTTCCAATCTTCTTGTTCTAGTTTTATGTGTCTTAATTCTTTTTTAATATTTTTCATATATCCTGATTTGTTCATTCCTAGTTTTTCTTTTAATTCTACTTTAACTGTTAGTGCTTTATGATCTGTTTCGAAGTCTTCTATATCTATTATTTCATGACTTATAATGTTTTCATTAAAGCTTTCGCTTGCGAAAATAAAATCTATCCTGGATGAATTATCTCCACTCTTCCATGTGTCTAGCATATCTTCCGCTGCTGTTAAGCTTTCGTGAATGTCTTGTAAGCCATGTTTTTTAATTGTGTTTATTAGTGGTTTTAGCTTTTTCTTGTTCTTTGTTGACTCGTTGAAGTCTCCTAATATTACTGTTTCATAATCTAAATTTAACGATTCGTTCATCCATTTTGTTAAATGTTTTTCTATGTTGGTTGTAGTCTGTTTATCGTTGTTTGGGTTATATATTCCTATAATTCTAATGTTCTTCTGTTTTCCTTTGAAAAGTAAATCTAATTTAATTGCGTGACCATTTATTGTCTCTATCTTATATCTTCTGTCATTGATATCTTTTTGCATCAAAATTATTATGCCATTCTTGTTGTTTTCGTTGTTGTAACTACTATTTATGCATTCATATTTGTCCCAGCCTTTGTACAAAAATTTACCTTTTGATTCTTTGAGTTTTGTTTCGGTGATTATTGCTATATCCCATTTCTCTTTATCTAGAAATTTTCGTATATCGCCTTGTTTTTTCGTGTCGTTTAATCCTCTTACGTTTATACAACCTATTTTTAATTTGTTTTTTGAATTTTTTTCCCGTTTGTTTTCTTTGTGTTTTTGATTTTCGTAAATTTTCTTGTTTTTTGTTTTTGTTTTTTTGTTTGTTATTAATAAATTTTCGTCTCCCTTTCTTGTCTCTTCTTCGTCACCTTCTACACTTTCTCCTTTCCTCTTTTTGTATATTTCTGTTGTTCGTTCAATAGCGTCCGCCCCATCGGCGTTCGCTTTGGAAGTGAGATCTTCTGTTCCTTTCATTAAAGTTTTTCCCGCTATTTCCGTTGTATCTGTAGCTGTTGTTGTTATCGTTGTTGTCATCGTTGTCCTCTTGTCTGTTGTTGTTTCTTGATTGTTGGTAATTGTATCGGTCGTTTCTGGTATGCTTGTTGTATCTTCTATTGTCATTTTCTTCATGTCTTCGATAATCATTATTACGGTTGTATCTTCTCTGATGGGTGTATCTTTGTTGATTTCTGTCGTCCCCGTATCTGCTGTTTTCATTGTCGTAATTTCTGTTGTATTGTTGATATCTGAAATTTCCCTCATTGTCGTACCATCCTCTTCCGAGGTTTCTTCCATTCCTGTCTTTCCTGTTTCCTCCAGGTCCGTTATTATTGAAAAAGCAATCTTCGGTTGTATGGTTATTTCTTTTACAGATCTCGCATCTGGGTGTATTTCTACTATCTTGTCGTCTATTGAAAATTTCTCTATTCCTATTGTGATTTTCTCTATCATTGCCGTTGTCGTAGCCACGAAAATTGTGTTTGTTGACATTCCCTGTCCGAAAAAACCAAGTAAATATTTGGTTTTCGCTTTCTATTTTTTTCCCTACCGCGATTTTCCTTTCTTCCATATTGTTGAAAAATGCGATTATATTGTATGTGCCTCTCTTCCTGCTTTGTGCTTTATACCAGTATCTAGCACCTGCTTTCTTTATTTGTTTAGCTAATTCTTTTTCGTTCGTTTCTTCGGGTATATCCATTATACTTGCGCTGATTCTTCCTCTTTGTTTTATCACGTGATTTTTGTAATTTTCTGGTTCTATTTTTATCATTTTTCCATTAATTAGTATTCCCCAGGTGTTCAAAAGCTCTTCTTCTGTACATTTTATCTCCATTTCTATCCTCATGTTGGTTGTTTTCCCTGTTTTGGTTTTACTTTTCGTATCGATTATTCTCCCTAGACGTTGTTCTAGTTTGTGCATGAGTTCGTTTAAATCTACATATGTTTCGTCTATTCCTGTGACTGATATAATTAATTTCGTTTGCATTTTGTCGAGCCATTCCAAATTTCTGAATTTTCCGATTGTGCCAAGTGTTCTTCCATCTTCGATAAAGTTATTTCTCGCTGTTTCTGTAAAGAAACCTACATAAGTGTATTCGTTTCCATTTTTTGTCGTTCTCCCCAGTGTGTTCACGTGATATTCCAGTAATTTATTATCATTGATGAATTCTATTATTGATTGGTCTGTTTGTTGGTCCCTGATCGCGCAGGTAAAAAGTCCCGCGAAATACTTGAGATCGTCCGCCGTTTTTGGTTGGTGCATTGAGTCCTTTCTTTTTTTGGAATGATCCCCCATGTCGTGATCTTCCATTATTGCCATCGTAATTGATTGGTCTCTTGAATTCTTAAAATTGCCATTTACGTTATGTTGCTGCATTTCTGTGTTTTTATTGGTGCTTTTCTCCATGTGTTTGTTTGTGGAGGGTGATGTTTTGTTATAACTTCTATATCTATTCTTGAATGTCTTGTCCATTGAGGCGTCGTCACTGGATGTGTTGCTGCTATTATCGCAAATTCCTTCTAAGATATTCTCGTCTTCGCTGTCTTCTTCTAGTGAGTTGCCTAAAGATTGTCTACATTTTTCCAAAGTTTTTTCTCTTTTGATTCTTTCTCTGTCTTCTTGGTCAACTGTTCCTAATTCCGTTTGTATTTGGTGTGCTTTTATGGAAGTGTGTTTGAAGTAGTATTCTTCTTTTTTGTTCCATTCTTCTTCCTTTAGACGTATCCATTCGTTCATCTCAAAATGTTTTTGTGCTAGCATTTCGTTGCTTGTGGTTTTATATTCATCTATGTATTGGTTAAATTCTTTGGTTCTTTGTGCGTTAAATTTTTCTATACAAATTGTTATGAGACCTCTAATAAAGCATCCTAAAATTTCGTTGTCGGAGCCTAGAAAGAAGGCTATATGCTTGTCTGCTTCTGTTATTTCCATCCCTGCGTTTTGTAATATTGCTTTTCGTTCTTCTTCGCTTTTTTGTGCGTATCCTTCCAGCGCTACAAAGTCCTCTCTAGACGGTGTTATACCCATTTTTACTATTGAGATATGTTTGCTGCGGAATCCTATGTAAATCGGTTTATGCAGGAGAGAGTTTTTTTTTTTTTTTCGAACGCTTATTAATCTTTGGTGTATCGTTCGTGAAAATCGTTCTATTTTCAAAATTACTATCGGATCGGGTAACGATCTTGATGACCTTAAAAAAGTTATCAAGGAGGGGAAGCCAAATTATTTTGTTAATGCTGATGCCGACGAACTAATTCTATGGAGAACCAATGTTGCTTCGAATATACTTAGGAACAAAGAAACTGCTATTGAATCCTACTTAAACGAAAAATTAGATGATCCAGCCGATACGGTTAGAAATACATTTCAAAACGTTGTAGGAAATAATATTCGAGTTATTGTTGACGTTCCCGTTACTGGTGAGTCATACCATTTTTTTTTCCTTCTTTTCTTGCGCGTCATATTCGCCAATAATACCGAATACGTACTTATTCTTGTGCTTTTCTTTCCTGCTTCTTATCGTCGAACCGCCCAAAAAACACATTCGCGTTATCGTAGAGCAACCCAGTGGTAAGTGAGCCGTAATAAATTAGTCAACGCGAGCGAACGCGTAATCTGGCTTGATTTTTATAACCGTGTTTCATTTTTGCTTTGCTATACAATTGTTAATACTTTAAACCTATACTGATTGTCTTATTTATTTCTTAACTTTATCATTTCCGTTTTTATTAGCTAGGAAAAAACCACGAGAGAATAATATCATAACGACAGATGGGCCATTACAACCACTTTCGGGTTCATTGATGATTTCTAGAAATTTCTTTCAAGAAGTGGAATCTATTTTATTGAATGGACAATCGTTTGTTATTCATGGTCCTTATCAAAGCGGAAAGTCAACTTTTCTGTTCCATCTCAGGACGTCATTTATTGGTAAAAGCCTAGATTTTGCGCATCTCACGATGGCAGGTGTAAAAGGATCCATATTAACCAACGTGCGAACAGGGTTTTACGATTACATGTCATTTATGCTCTTTAAGGAAACGCTTGATGAAACAAAAACTTTTGCACATATCTACAATCTAAAGGATCCTTTATACATCCTTATCGATGAATTCCAATATATCTTCACAAACCCAGAGCTTTGTGAGGTGGCTAAAGATTTCTTCCGAGAAATTTCAAATGCGATGAATATACATTATGTTGCTGTGGGCACCTTTAAGCTTGTGGATTTGAAGAAAAGTGACAGTGACAAACTTATTTCGCCTTTCAACAAGGCCTTATTCAAACAAATGCCAATGTTCAGCATTCAAGAGATGGGCGAGCTCTTCAATCTATATCAATCAAACTTAGATAAAAATGGTGTTTTA